TATACACATCAAATACAGAAAAATCTAGTGATGCACACATATTTCATGTTCAATCTTCTCTTTGTAGCCACAAAATTCTGGTATAGGGGGCAAATGATGACACTGTACGAGTGAAACAAAAATGTGGGGGCAAAGGCTTCTCCGCCAGCCCTAGAGTCGTCTTATCTTTGAGATAAATCAAAATATTGGCATAATTAAGACCTTGAAAAACTGGCAAATAATTTTTGTCGTTTGATCGTGACTAGTGAGAAAGGTGTGATAGCTCCCGGATGCCCCTACACCCTCTATAAACAGTACAACAACAACAACAACAACAACAACAACAACAAAGCCTTTAGTCTTAAACAAGTTGGGCTAAGCTAGATGTGAAACTCATAAGATCTCGCGACCAACTCATGACTCTGGCACATGGATAGCAAGCTTCCACGCACCCCTGTTCATAACTAGTTCTTTGGTGATACTCCAATCCTTCAGGTCTCTCTTAACGGACTCCTCCCATGTCAAATTCGGTCTACCCCGATCTCTCTTGACATTCTCCGCACTCTTTAGCTGTCTACTATGCACTGGAGATTATGGAGGCCTGCGTTGAATATGCCCACACCATGTCAGGCGATGTTGGACAAGCTTCTGGATGCCCCTACACCCTCTATGAACAGTAAATTCAAAAAATAGTTAAAAAAACTGAAACTTTGCGACATCAAATATGGTCAAACTTTGTAGGTTCCTGCAAGTTTTCATAACAAAATATCATGTATAGCTGCTCCAATATCAGGAGTTTCAAATTTCAGTGCTATAAGTGCTCAAAACTTCAAGCATTGAAATCTTTTTCTTGTGTTTTTTTGGCATGAAAACTTGCAAGCACCTACAAAGTTTGATTATATTTGCTATTCCAGAGTCTCATTTTGTTTTAAGATTTATTTTTTATTTTTTAATTTACTGTTCATAGAGGATGTAGGGGCTCCCAGGAGCTGAAAAACCACTCTCCATGACTAATACGGGTAGTCTGGACTTATACCACTTTGTATTCTACTGTTTGCACAAATACGGACGGTAAAAAAGAGGTCACTAAAAAAAACTTGCAAGTAGTACCAGAACGCTGAAGCATGTCTGCAAAATGACGCCGCTAAAATTAAGATGTGCAGGCAAGAGAGCAGACGAGAGTGAGCACGACAACAAGATTACACTTAGATGAATAACAAAAGGATGCATTCCGTTGTTGATGAAAAAAACTCTAAGTACTAATCAGATGCATTACATTCAGGGTGAAGGCATATAAGGAACTGGATGCTACAGGTCTCGTGTGTTGGTCTAATCACATGAAACTGTTTGGCCATCCAAGCATGTGTAGAGAATGCTATTTTTATGAAGTTAACAGGTTGATGGCACTGTGTGTTGCTTATTGGCAGCTGGCGTGTCCGAGATGTTCGTACATCATCATGGACAAGGAAAAACGAAATCTTGTTTGATTTTTCCATCTCTTGAGTATGCTGCAATTTTACTTGTCCCGGTACCCCTCATGCCAACGTAAGATCAGCTCAATGAGCTAGCAAAAGACAAACCGATTCTATCCTCGTCTATCATGGAAGACATATTGACTATCTTGTTCAGAAGTGAGTGCCCTTAGTTGTTTGAGCAGTTGAGTCGTTTGTGTTTGCACTCAAAGTTGAAACGATAGTAGTTGGCCGCTTCCGGCGCTGCAAGGAAGAATGACTTGCTTAAATAAAGAAGTTAAGATGAAGTTGTGTGAATAAACAGGTGGTAGACCAGTAGTTGAAGAAATGGAGACATAATTTTTTTTCTTCAAAAAAATCAAACTAAATAAAGCGAGTACATGAAACTACTTTGAGTAGAAGAGAGCGAGGGCCACATTAGTGCCAGCTAAGCCTCAATCCCGGTACATAGTTTGGGTCCTTCCCAAAGCTTCTACTCGCTCGGTCCGAAAATACTTGTTGGAGGAATGGATGTATCTATATATATTTTAGTTCTATATATATCTAGTTTTATCCATTTCTCTCAAACTACATCTGGAAACTCACTAGTAGAAAATAGGGCTTTGGTCCAAGCTCAATTTATACATTAGTCCCGGTTGCATTACGAACCGGGACTAATTTAGTCTCGGTTTGAGCCACGAACCAGGATTAAAGGGTGTGACTCCAATCGGGACTAAAGGTTAGACCTTTAATCCCGGTTCAAGCTATGTACCGGGACTAAAGGGATTGAGGCTTAGCTGGCACTAATGTTCCAGAACTTTATTTATACAAGTCACTTTCCGTTCCAGAAGTTACTATGGTCCAGAGGCTAATTAACTAAGGAATTTGTATCTCAACTTTGAACTACAAATCACATTCTCAAATTGAGTTCACGACATAGTAATAGTTAGCACTTCAGGTGATGGAGAGGAGAGTGGCTTGTATAAATAAAGAAAGCCAAGAGGTGTGTGTGCAAGTAACGTGGTGGTAGTTAGAAAAAACTAAAGAGAGTACATTGTGGTTGGGTAATTAAAAAGAAAATAAGGCATGGGGGAGTGAAGAGACAAACAAAGGTCGCTGTGGAATGAAGGGAAATGGAAAATGGTGCATGAACATCAGTCCACTAGAAAACATAAACCTACGAAACTGAAGCTCAGGAACTAGCTGCATGGGATGGAGCAAAAACTATCTTATAAGGCTTGGTTAGAAGAAGCTCAGGAACTGCAAAGGTCTCGTATTGCTTGGTTAAAA